TAAGTCATATAAATGAATGTGGGCCAGGACACACCAAGTGCCACCTGTGCACTCTGCTGCTGTCACCCCGGCACCCTGCGACACATCAGATAACGCCCGAGTTGTATTTAGGTTATTAGACAGTGGAAAGCAAAGGGAATTGCTATCATTTATGTAAAACATTTTCATACTGCTTAAGAAAGTCATTAGTGAAGAGCGGACACTTAATTACTGAAACAAATTGCTCGCTGCCAAAAGGATGCAGGCCATAATGAAGGCTTATCTCCCAAACATGGATGAGCTCATGCAATCTCCTACAAAATAAGCAGTAAAATCTACCCAACAGCAACCCCCCCAATCCTCAGGCCCAACGGCTTTCGAACAAGACTCAGTAGACTCCTCTCTTCTCCTCTCCGCTTCAAACACTGCCTTGTACAGACCCTTCATCTTTCACTCTGCAATATTTGCTAAACACCCTCTCTATTCTGTTCTAACCAAACAAAATCTGCACAACTTAAAACAATAAAACTCTTAAAAATAAATTAAATGCCAATTCCAGATTTTCAGAAAGAGGCAGCTACTGCCAACTTCTATGCATCAGAAAGAGGGTAGGACAAATTTATGTTCAATTTGTGGCGTGTCAAAAGAAATCAAACATAACATGTTATGCTGCAGGGAGTGTACTACTTGAATTATATGCGATATTATAGCTGAAACACAACCGCATGTTACCAGGGATAGTTAAGGGATCATTTCCCCTAATTAATCACAATAAATTCTGCAAACACAGGTACTCTCAAAATTCAAGCACTTAATACTTAATAATGAAACCTATGATTAGGCAGAGGTGTAAACCCTCTGAGAAGCGGTGGGTGTGAGAAGAGGATGAGGAAGGGAGGAAAAAGGCCAGGCTGTTACACAGAGGGGACACCTGAGTCTCGCCTCGAGCCTGTGCACGGAGCCCAGGTGACCAACACAGTCACCCAGGTTTCTCCAGCCACAGCTCTGCCCTCGCCATCGTTCCAGGCTGCGCCTAACGTGTGACCGTCTCTTCTGTCCCACCTCCAAACACAGACCTCCTGGGTGCCACATGGAGCTGTAAATCCACTCCTATCACCCTTCCTTTCCCAAACCCCGTATTTTAGGTTTAAAAGAACAGTAAGTGGAAACTGAAATGCTGACAGGCTTCCCCACAGGCACATGGAGTCAACACGAAGCTCAACAGCACAGTTATCGGTCTGGGCCAGCTCAGGCCAAACCTATGAAGGCAATCAAAACACTGGACATATCTTCTTAATGACTCAACAGCCTGATACTGTATCACTCCCTCCTTCCAACACTTACTCTATCGATGGTTTCATAATGACTACATGACTTACAGATGTTATCAGTGCAGGTTTTACAGGTAAGCCTGATAATGCTTTTATACCAACTGCTGAGAATTATTTTATATTTATGGAAGAAAGGCCACAGAGAAAACAAGTCGCATTGCGGGGAAGGAAGGGGGAAACAAGAGAAGAAAAAAGTAAATTCAGAGAACACACATCTCTAACCTAGCAGTACTTCCACGCTATTGAGCTACATCCTCCCTCCTCTGCTGCAAAGCAGAGCCCTAGGAATACACCCGGTTAAAATGCAGAGCACCTATGGCAGGGAGTTGGAGAGGCAGGCCCAGGATCACCAGAAAAGCACTGTTTTTTTAGTATAGGTCACCATGAAAAGGGATCTGTGGTGCTTCATCAGTGCATGCCCAAACATTACACCTTCTCGCCAGCCTTCATCTTTGATTGAGCCTGAGTCATGCAAGGAAGATGCTGATGCTGTGAAAACTGTTCAGAAAGAGGCAGCAAAAACACAGCGAAGGGCTTCAAGTCCGCCAAGATGAAAGACAAGGATGATCCTCTCTGAAAAAGCAGCATCCCCTCAGCTCACCATCCTGCTTCTGCACATATCTGTTATTTGATTTATACCAAATAGATTTCTGTGTAAATAAAATACTTCAGGAAAAAAGGCTAAATATTCTCAATAATACATTTGATTACATTCAAATTATTCCTGACTGATGTGGTCCGGGAAAAAAAACCTAGCATGTGTTCTACAGTGCACTTGCAGAGCACTTGCACCTACCTACTTAAGCAGTTTATTAGAAATATGCTTTGGAAGAAATTAATTAGCTTATTAGGTAGAGTTAATGGTTTTGTCAAAGCAAGGCTAAACAAAGTGACATTTTAAGAGCGCATATGCTACTTCACAAAACAAAATCCCACATGACCAGTTTCAAAGAACACCAAGTACCAGCATCGCATACACCAAAAGTTAGTTGTGTAATATTTTAAGACATTACCATTTCTCTGGTTAGATTTAAAAATAACTTTAAAAAGACTCTGAGAACATTACAAAATGGCACATTTTTATTGATGCTCTGTAATTTTTCAGAATTTGCTCAGATAATCTCCCCTTTATAAATCCCTGGAATAAAGCCACATATGAAGGACCTAATTCAGAGCAAACTGACAAATCCAAGAATTTTTTTATTGCCTTTTTATCATGAGAATGTACTTTGTGTTTTAGAGAAACTGCGTCTTTCCAGAACTTCAGCAATTTCCTTCTCTGGGAGGGCACTGGGTACACTTGTACCCAGTGACCGCTGATCAATCATCTGTTTCCAATATTTACAGCTTTCACCTACGGTTTGCTAAAACGAAGAACAAACTGCACAAGGGGTTTAAGAATACAAAGACTGATAAAAAAAAAAAAAAAAAAAAAAAGAGGGAAGAAGAGAAGCGATAGTTTGCTTTATGCAGAACCAGTGCCAGCCCCCTTACCTTTCTGAGGTTATTGGTTTGGCAAACTAAAACCTTTTAATAATTGACACTCCACCCAAGCCTGTTTTTCTCATCAGGGCGACTCCGCCTGCTTCCTCTCCCAGCTTCTAGGCACTTGTTTAGCGTCTTTATTGTTCGTAAGAGGCTTAAGAAACACTAAGAATAACCTTGTCATTTCCATCCCTTCCTTCTGCCTTTCTCTCAAAGCATCAATCTATCGCGGATAACTTTACATTACAGAAAGGGATTTCTAACATTTTGAAAGGGAACTTTGGAGATCACGCTCCTACAATGCGTGTAAGAAACAGAATGAGAATATTAACCTAGTATTTCCTCTTTAATCCTTTCCAAGTATTTCCCATTCCTTCATTTTGGAATTCTTCACCCGGTTCCTTTTAAGCTACCAATAATGCCTACCAAAGAGCCTGAATTAGCCTTAGAATAAAATAAATTTCTCTCAATACTGATAAAAGTAGCAACACGACACCCAATGTTTTCAGTTCCTGGGGTCCTTCTGCCTATTCAGTATCTGAACAGTTTCTCTGGTCTGGTGATCCAGCTGTTAGGCCAGCAGCTCTGATGCTGGTTCCTATGACATGGATGGGAGAACGTGGTTGGAGGCCACCAACTGACCTCAGAAAGATGCCCCAAACAATCTGCTGACCGAGAGTTCTCCATCACCACCAACCTGAGCCAGGTCCCTATTGGTGACCTTGAGACAGAAGATGCAATATGCCAACTTCTCTGAAGCAGGTACCATACAGTCCTCCCCCATAAATTTATTTTTAACTGTCAGAATCAATTTAATATGATATTTTAGAAGGACTTACTGGACATCCCAAGCTGATGTTCAATGAAAGGTGAGGAACCAGACTGACACAGGGTGGACTTGAGCTTGGCTGATACAAAAGCTCATAGCAACCAGATGAAGAGCAGCCTTTGCCTTCCAGCTTCCCGACAGCTTTGGAGACTTGGGCATTTTTATTATTATTACTGCCATCCACAGAGTAACAAGGAAACTAGAGCAAATTATGTCATAAAACCTATCAGACTCTCCTCTGTGAGTCACTCTGTGCAACACGGTCCAAGAAATCCAGTAGCAAAGATAGGAACAAAATCCATAAGACAGAACCACACGAAAAAGAAGAAGGGACAGGGGAAAAGGACAAAAAAAGCAGCCTCTGTGCAGCACAGGAAGACCCTGTCCATCATGAAGCAGAAGCCAACGGATCTTTCCCTGGCAAGCGGCACGAGTTTTTAAGATATAAGAGAAAAAAAATATATATATATATTCCAACGCAAGAAGAGTCTCCCCAGCCACATCCAGCACTTCCTACCCAGCCAACCCTGGGTGCAAGCAGTAGGTGCAGGGGCCACGGAGAGGGACACACAACAGGACCGCGCAGAGGGAGAAAGTGGCTCAGGAGGAGCTTTGTCATTCGCGCCTGCTGGGAAAGCGTCTCCTGAATCTCTCAAGAAACAAAGCTGAGTATCAAAAGCCTCCAAATCAACCCCGATATGAAATTGTCCAAAATTAATTCCCAGTCTTAAGAAAGGAAAAGAACCACCTAACCCCGGCAGATAGGTGCGATAAGGAGGTCGCAGAGCACCTGAGCTCATGCAGCACTTCACGTTTCCTCAGCCTCTACAAACCCTGGCTAACGCCAGCCAGCACAACGCAGCTAGCAGCGTTTATACACAAAACTGCGTGCCCATTAAAACAAATTGATACTTCTCAAAATAAATCAGCTCACTGCTCCTTTGGAGGTGCACTGTGCTGCTCTTTTACAGCAGAATCTGTGAGTTCAGCTTCTAGCTCAAGCGCGGAGCTCGCACAGCGACGTAACCGCGTGTAAAAACAATCGGTATAAATATCAAATGGAAAGGGTAAAACCTCCACAAACTGGCTGTGAAACACGCTACATATATGCCAGTTCCAAAGGGAACTGCACTGATGCAGTATTTCTGAAAGCTATTTAAAAAAAATCCAAAGAAAGAAGATCTTTGCATAAATGTATTACAATATGTATATAAAATGATTAAACACAGGTTATGTTCTTTGACATTACTTCCAATATAATGATCTACACATCATCAATTAAAAAAAAAAAAAAAAAGAAAGAAAGAAAAAAAACTTGCCAGGCTTAATCCTGATTTAACCTCACCCTTAATTATTAAAAATAGTTAAGCACTTACCATAATGTGATTGAAATGCCTGTGGTTTTACGACCTGATTACAGTGGTTACACATCACCAAATAGAAATCATCATGAGCCGGGCAAAGACCAAATATTGGCATATCTAAAAACAAAAAGACAAAATGGCATATCTCTCAGCTGCTTACAATTATTCAGAACAGTTTAATTAAAGAGCCATGATACTCATGTTGAATCATTATTTTAATACATATGTATAAAATTTGAAAATGAGAAAAAAATGAGCACATAATGCAACAGCTTTTTTTTTGCTGGAATATTACAAAAGCAAAAATCATCCTTAAAAGATAAATGTAAAATAAGAGATTAGTTGTAGAAGACATCTATTAGAAATCTGATTTAGGACTGATTATCCTGTGCTAAATTCAAGAACGTAATAAAAAGGTGATTAACTTCAAATTACAAACACAACGTAAGAGATGCTTTATGTAGTCTAAAAGAGGAGGGGGGTGTATTTTATTCCACTCATTAAATGAATTCTAAAATTAAGTGTATTTTCTATTTAATTTTTTTAGCCATTTTAAATGCACAGTCGTTTTCCAAGCGGTATTACATGCCTAATGGTTTTATTTGTTTAACAGTGCATTATATTCCAGCCATCTGCTGCCAAAGATCTGTGTAACAGCTATATAAGAGAGAGAGAGGGAGAGAAAAAAGAGAGATAAGAGTGTGTCAGAGCATGTGTGGATTTCAGAGATAACACACATACTTGCGGAATTTTATTTTAAAAAAAGTGTTGTGTTTAAGCAACCCAGTTTTTAGGAGTAGAATATAACAGTTAAAATGCTGGAGGAGTCAACGGAGGCAGTAAATACAACATTTACTACACACCTTCAAGTTAGACTGCATAATATAACTGAAAATGTCGTTCAGTCGTTGAAAGATTAAAAACAGGAAACTGAAAACATATAATACTGCATAAAGTCATTATTGCCAAACAGGCTAAGGTCTCTACAACACTATTTAGAGATTTAAAACTGATATAAGAGAACTTTATCTTAGAGAATTTACTTAAAAGAATACTCAATTAGAAGATTTCTATGTTAACAATAGCTTAGATATTATGTTAAAAGTATTTATGTTGGTATTAGAATCGACCCAATCTTTATGTTTCTTAATTTTTTGATTTTTTTTTTAAATAAACAACATACTATGTTTTACTTGAAACACCATTTTTGCTCAATAATAGTATCAATTATGTATAAAATAATCCTTAAATAAATTGGCTAATTATATTTTAGGAATGAATGGGCTATGACCCAAGAAAAGCGAGGCACCGCATCTCTGTCCCCATTGAGAAACAAAATCAAGTCAGGAGGCTCCTAGCAGAAAGAGGAATGAACCCACACAGAACAGCTTCCACGAGCAAGAGCTTTCTTTTATAAATGTTTTCCCTCCAAAACCAAAAGATCTTATTTTTAAAATAAAAGTTTTGCCAGATTTTCAAAACTCGTTATTTATATTACATTAATATTAAATACAATATCCATAATAATGTCTGCAAATAGATTCTCTTAGGTACACCCAAAGATAATGATCAAGGGCATCAGAAGTAGCTGTGATAGATTAGAGCTATTACTTAAAGTGATGTGATAAATACTTATCTAAATCAGAGACACCTTTTTAAGCAATTGATTTTACAATAAATGAATACATTTTAAACTGATTTGCACTTTATTAGAGAGTCTTCCTTTCGTACTTACATTTTCAAAAGAGGCATTAAGACCTCAAGCATATGTAGCTTGCTGTAAATTAGAGCCAACCAGGCAGATACACCTTAGGATAAAACAGCTATTAATGATAAATACTTGTTCTTCAATATCCACTTGCTGTGATTTAATAAGCTGCCTCAGGGGAAAAATATATATATAAAAAACGTTTTGTCAATGGCTAAGACGTACGATGGCGCTCTGTATATGTCTGCATAGGCAGGTTTCCATATGGCAAGCAAATATTCTATGGCTCTTAATGCACCAGGGTGCCCTGTACAGTAATGGGGTGGGTTGATGCACCCGCACAGGCTGCTCCTGCACAACAGCCGGCTGTAAGAACACCCTGGGACCCCTGCACACACCTGTATCTTTTCCGATGTACAATCTAAATTCCAACCACTTTGCACAGAATACAAGAAAAAAAAGGATTTCCAAGGCAAGAAAAGCATTGCCTACCTCTATTTATCTTGCAAGATAAAGCTCTCCTTGACATTAGCTTGAGATGTCGTGTTTGCTCTATTTAAATACTCCTACGTATATTTGCTGGAAATACAGAGCTGTGTTTTTAAGCTACAAGCAAAACAACTTCACAGAAATTGATGCAAGCAAAAACGTTCTCCAATTTACATTCCTAAGAATTCTGAATTTAGCAAAGTCCTTTACACTGCAAAGCAATTCTTTGGAATTTTAAAATCAAAACTGTAAGTGACAGAAAGCAATGCCAAAATACTCTATTAAATACACTTATCAGAAACCACTCTGACTAGAAGTAAAAACAGTTGACAAAGGGAAAAAAAATTGCTGCACACACAAATTCACAACTGTGATCTTGATGGAATTCATTCACTGAATCCAGCCCAATCACCCAAATCAGACAAAATGCTCCTCTACTCTGATACATCTGAATGTAATTAGGTAGTGAGCAGTGAAGATTAGAGTCCTAAATGCATCTCTCCTTTGTTTTCTTGTAGGTGCTAAAGGAAATACTATTTTTCTACTATCAAATCACTGTTTTTTCTCCCTGCCTCGGAAGAGATACAATCAAATCCCCTTTTGTTACAGGGAGCTGGCAGGCCCCAAAGCAGCCTGGAGCTGCATGAGCAGGGGGAACCACACCAGGCATGAGGGGCCAAAAAGCAGCATTAATGCAACTACAGACACCTGCTTTTCAACTTTCAAAATGGGTTTGAAACTTCCAAGACTGTGACTCAGTAAAGATCAGTAAAGATGGCTGGAAAGGAGCTCAAACCTGAGCACCTATTCTCCAAACCAGGAGTCATGGTCTTGGGTGAGGAAACTCCCACACCTCTGATAAGCTGCACTGTCATTCTACTCAAAAGCAGGTCGCAGGGAAATCTTATTTTTTATTCATGTTCATGTTGGGAGCAAATTCCTAAGTGGATCTGTTATGAAAAAATGATGAAATGTATACTGTGTAAATAGCAGGGAATACACTAAATAGTTTAGTCAAATTTACATATGAGATGTGTTCCAGAGGCAGATGATAGAGATGCTTAATTTTCCTGTTCCCCCCACGTGCGCTTGGGGAAGTTCAGAAGTCTTGCCGTTGATATTCTGAAGTCTAATACTTTATACCTATTCCATTTAATGACATGCAAATTCTCCATTTAAAAGTCTAATGAAGTTTCTAGTATTTCAGCAGTGTCATTTCAAATGCACTGCTCCTCTGGGTTTCAAGATTTCCTTTTGAAATACTTAACTGTAAATGTAAAGCCCATGCCTCCCATGGAAGAGCCTAGCAACCGTGATTCATATGTTCCTCCTTTCAGAGCTGGGCTAATTTAACTCTCTCCATCTGGGAATGTTTTCCAAGGTCAAACTAAAAATTTAAACCGAGACCTCCAACTTTCTATTTATTTTTTCCATACCCACAGTATTATGTAGTATCAATATCCAAATGCTGTTATAGAAGCTGCTGGTTATAGCAATTCTATTGACACCATAAGGAAAAACAACTTCATTTACCTCTATAATATTAAATCTCTGAACACTGCAAATTCCAGAATTCACTAATTTCAAAAGCACTGCATAAAAAACCCAAAATCAACCCGAAGTGATATTTTCCTATTCTCTCCACCAAGAGAACGACCACACACCACACAATTCAGAGATATTTCAGCTGTGATGTTTGTTGAGTATGTAGTAAGTGTGAAGTTAGGCAAAAAGACCGTTATACTTGGGAAAGTCTCGTACATAATTTCTAACTAAAAAAAGAAAAGGGGGGGGAAGTAAGGTGCAAAGAAAAATAAGGTGCAAAGTAAGTAACAGTCTGGCATAGCTTACATCAGGTAACATGGAACAGAGCATCTACTCAGAAAATCTTCCAGAAACTGAGCTGCCATCTCCCTTCCTGAGGGCTGGAGAGGCCTCTAGATCAAGTAATTTCTCATTTTTGCCTTTTCTTTCAGTATTTACACTGCAAAGATTCATGCCTGTGCACATTAAAAGCAATTGTCTGTCTATTCTTGACTCTATGAGTTAACATTATAGACAAAGGAAGAGATAAAACAGGTTAAAAATACACAGTTTGATAAAATATTACCTGTTTGCATTTTATTGAGTCACTAGTTTCTGCAATTATCTCAGCTGTATTGCGTTTTTCTTGTTGTTTGCTACTTTTTGGCAAACAATAAATTTAATCCAATCACCTGTGAATTTAGATGTCCCTTTTCAGACTGGAACACAGCACCGCATCTCTATCCCAGCAGCTGGTAAGGCAAATATCCCTTCTGGAATTGCCATGCATGGAATATCAAAAGAAAAGTAAGGTTGAAACCATGTCCAAACTTTCAAACCACGGGAAATGAGCCCTAATTCTAGCTGTTTTCAAAAATCAGAATGTAACTTTCCTACTTTGCAGAAGTCTCCTCCTGAAAATGGAAAGAAAAAAAAAAAAAGTGAGAACAGAAAGTGAAACAGAGGAAGAGAAAGTAAAGACTGAAAAGGAAAGAAATGAAAGGGCAAAAATCAAACTGTAAGAGGCAGACATAAAACTTGGTGAAGAAAAAGAGAAGAGAATACACAGAAGCACTGTGTAAGTATTTCTCAGAGAAAACATACCTGATACTCACTTCTTCCCTAGCCATTCCCAGGCATCTGCTTATTAAGAGCATCCTTAAAAGTTTGAGTCTAACTCGCCAAAAATATATATGCACTGGTTGCAATTTAGCATAATTTGGCAATGGACATTTCACATGCTGGTACATGGTGCAAGCATCAAATGTTCTGGCTATGCAAGCCCCACAGCAGAGCATAAAAAGCCTCAAGCACAAACCAACCTGAATATTCTTCTGTAATATTTTTAATCAACTATTGACAACATTAGATGTGCCACCATTATAATGGGATATAC